TCTCGCACCGTTTCGCCTGGCATAGTAAACACAACAGCTACTTAGTTTAGAACAGGGCAGAGTTTTCAGTCACTCAGAGTGGTGTCCTTCTACGAGGGAGTTGGGTGAGACCGCGCCTGGCAGTGCATTAGCATCTGAAGGCAACGAGCTGGTGGCTTTGGTAGCTCGACTACAACGCCTCTTTGGGCTAGCCGCTACCAGCCTCCCTCGTAGGAAGGTTGAAAAAAATTGGTGGAAACAAACCGTGCCTACACCAATACATTAATAAAGTGTAGTAGAAAAAGACAGAAAGACTTTACATCTTAGATTCTAGCTTGATGTACTCAATCGTGACGTACTCAGCCTTGTTCATAGCGTCACACAGACCAGGGGGACAGGATAGTTGTGTCAGAGGAGTGCTTCGCACTCCCCATAATTCTGGGGCTCCACGGAGACGCATTTTACGTCTGTTAATGGATTAACTCCGGTTAGAGACCACCTCTGTGTGGTTAGCACGCTTGACATAGATCAATTCTGTTCAAACTTCACCTTTCTCGGGATCGTTGCGTGAGTCTCCGCGTTAGCGCAAATGTATCACGTGTCTTACAACGTGCGGGAGCATAGGTTGAAGCTCTTGCTGCGTTGAACGCAGGGCGTTCCTCGAGGGTTCACTCGCCGTCAGGACCCAGGCTACTTATTGCAGTATCACCTCGACCTATGAGAGGTTCATCTCTCCTGAACCGGCATTCCCGGCGGGAATTTCCCGCTCACAATTGAGCATTTGCAGTTCCGGGACAACCAAATCACACTGTCAGGGTCGGTTTCTGTTTTACTGGGGGAACGCAAACTAGTGGGCATAAGAAAAAGTAACAACACACATTCTTGACTCTCACCCAATAAGCGATCCTTTAGCTCGTTACGTAGCTAAGGATAAGAAGATATAATTACACAATTAGAGCGCATCTTCACATTACTACACAGGGTTGCGAGGGTTATCAGAGCTCCCTGGTGTTGCTACGAGCTACGAGCTCAAAGTTTGAGGAAATATCTTTGATTTTTGTGCACTTCTACCCAGAATCGTGTGTTGATTTCCATAATGTAGTGAGAAAATTTACGACTTCAGCTGAGGAAAGTAAACACATATTTTCACACTGCTCTAGTCCTCTAAGTTTACAGTGTTCTGCCAAGGTCTGCTATCTTTCCTTGTGAGTATGTGTGTGTGCCAGCTTGCACGTGTATACAGCTGTGGTATCAGATTTAGTGTTGCACGATCAGCATTGTTGAACCGTGGCTAGCTTGGCTCAAGTTCTGCCTTGTTGGGTTCAATCAATCTCCACTGACCGAGTGGACTATCACCTACCGTTAAAGCTCTCTACATATATGCTTATTGCATTATTAATACATGTTTATAGCTATTTGTGAATAACAATATAACAATAAGCATAACCATAGATGGAGCTTCATGATTTCACGAAGATTGGTATAAGATCAAAGTTATATATAGATAAAACAGTTATCAATATATCTATTTGTCGCAGAGTTGAATTCCTCAATACCAACAACAGAGTAGCCGGGAGGTGCAATCTAACATCTATAACCCTCACTGATGAAGTTAGATGATCCTTTATCAATATGCTAAACCCCAAACAAGTCCTTATCACCCATTAACTGAGCACCAAGAGCGACAGTATATGTAGAAAGTATAACAATGGTATTAATGAGAGAGTGTAATCAGATGCTGCTTCTATGCCGTAGTCTCCAGATAACAGCATTCTTATCAAGATCTGGGCGAGAAGTTGTCTGGCACTCGGCGTTACGCAGCTCCACTCGCCGCTGAGGGATGGTCTTGATAGGCCCCGACACCACCGGTGTTGATTTCGGTCGATTCGCACCTAATCAATAACAAAGTCAACGCGATACATACAAGGAATCAGCTCACCTGAGTTCATAAGCATAGCCGCAGCGCGCTGACCAGCCTTGACAAAGTCATTCGGATCAATACTCTCTTCTAAAGTATCTGCTACGGCCCCATGCGGAGGGTTCACAATACCACCACTCTGAACGCTCGAAGTGTCCGCTGTTGGTGACTGCCATAAAAAGAGAGAATTGATAGGATGACCTCAGAGTAGCACGAGAGCTTACTTTTGGAGAGGGAGAAGCTGTAGGCAAGAGCACATGCTGCGATGAGTCGATGGGTTGGTATTCGATCCTGGCTGGACGATAATCTGGATGTGTTGGTGGTACCATATTAGCAAAGTTACTAGGTCTGATCCTCTAAAATGGAGTGATATCTCTGCTATTATACCTACTGGAGCGATTGACTTCTCCTGGAACTACTGCTGCTACTGCGAGAGCTGCTAGATCGCGACCGAGATCTGTTACGATGATGCCTCCTTCGAGACTTCCTCTTGCGCTCTTTTCTCTCTTTCTTTTTACGTTCCTGTCAAAACGACATGTCATAAACGTAGAGTATATCCGCAGAATAAGCGCGAGTTCAATCCCTGGCGAGAGCACGCACTTTCTCTATGAGCAGCAAGGCTAGCTGAGTGGCTGGGTCCATATTATTCAGTTGTTGTGCACTGCCAGGGTTCACAGCAAAGTTACTATTGAGTTCGTCGCCCCTATCAGCTGTTTCCTTCGACGACACTGGCTTTGAATTGCTCCTTAGATCCCCTGGAGGAACGATGATAATAATAGAGATTATATACAACGATAACTCACCAGTGACCATGGTCTCCCGTAGTTGCTGTCCAACACTATACTGCGTTTCGATCATCCTGTTCACACTAGCATGGACGAGAGTTTGAGAGTGAGGACAGAACTCTTTGGCGAGGGAATTGGCCTCATTGATAACAACAGTTGTGGGAATATGCTGATGGTTGAGAAGCTCGAAAGCAGCCGTCCTGAAGACATAATGGTAAGGATGGGGACCATGGAGTGCAGGTTGTGAAGGAGATGACGATCAATGGCATGATAAGTAAACTGTAGGAAGTAGCAGATGGGTGAGGATTCCAGACAACTACTCATACCACACCAACTTCAACTTATTCCCAATAATAGCAAGTAGAGGTGTGCGAATTCCAAGTTCAACACAGGAGATGCCCGACGAGGCGGAGTGTCATGTTTAAAGAGAATAAATGCACTACTGAAGGATATACCCTCGAGATCTCATATTCCCGTCACCACCACTACTACGACTAACCCGTTACGTTAGGACCTCATTATTGATAGTTCGGAGGAGCTTAGCGACTTCTGCAAGGATTCATCGAGTATGCTGATGATCCATCTATCACAATACACCAAGTTCGGCACCATACCTGTACAGAATCGAGTGCAGACCAATATTGGAAAATATGCATGAAAATTCTGAGGAAATTTTGAAAAATTATTATTAGTTTCTGTACACTTCTCTAGTATCGTATATAAACTTCTATAACTAGTGAGGAGAGTACTGAGCTCAGCTGAGGAAAGCGAACCCGTCTCCTTGCAGCACTTGAGAGGAGTCCAGAACAGTGTGGGGAAAAATATGCACATGGTCAACTACATGTGTTGATAAATATATGGAAATTCTGTGAGGAAATTTTGCGAGATTCTTATCGAATTTGTACGTCAACTTTTGAACTCCGTAGAGGAAAGCCAACACTGGCGTAGACAGCAATAGAAGAACGAGTAATACTACCAGAGAGTAGCTCCTCAGTGAAAATGTAATACTCGGCTGCTTTCGGTAGTTTCCTCATAAATTCACTAAGACAAGAAGCTTATGAGTATTCATAGTAATACTCCTACTCAATAGCAACGTCCACCTCCGTGATAGTGTGTGGAGTCTTATCGTCCCAAGCCATCAGAAACAGTACAGCTTGCCTCCTATTCTCGTGCCGTTCAATGCGGACTCTAGGGCGGAAGTCCTTAACTGGACGGAGGGCAGTAGGGCCATGGTTTCCGCTAGCTGTGTGAGTGTGAAGGAGTCTATCATCAGTGGGGAAGTACGATTCGGATCTCCTCGTAGACGATTCACTCCGTTTGGGTGTGGCCTCTCGATATCGCCTTTCGCGCCGTTCACGGTCGTATTCCCACTCATCGTTGCGTGCCTGGGAAAAAACTCTTTAGTATCGTAAAATATTCACCTCTACGAAATTTTGAACACCATTATTGGCCAAAATTTTCGTGAAAAATCAGAAAATTTTCCGAAAAAAAACTCATGAGCTGTTGTTAGTACCTTCCGCCGACCTTTTCTTCCACCATCACGGGAGCCCCCTCTGGAAGATCTACGCCTTGGGGACCGTTCACGAGAAGTGCTACGGAACGCGTACATTCCTTATCGATTGCTTGGGCGCGCGCTATTACCATCACGGGCCGTGACGCCTGTATTTTACCAAACCCGAATTTAACCAATACAAAACCGCGCGCCAATATAATCGATGAAAAGGGTAATGTTTAAACAAAATCGGAATTTATATTTTTGTCACGATTTTTTCCAAAATATTGCTAATGTTCATTTCTAACTCAAAAACACAATCCTGGAAGAAATACTTGCATATGATTCGTAGCTAAGTTGGGAATAAGTTAAGTATTCTGATCCGAAGGTCGCTGGTTCGATTCTATGTTATTCTTTCTCGTTAGGACTCTTGATGTTTCTTGCATATGCGGGAACTTGTCGTTTTTAAACTGTTTCTTCTGTATTTGCAAATGAGCGAACGATGTTTCCCCTGCGTAGTGGGCTTTTTCTTTGTTTTTTTACCTACGAACTAGCTCACAAGCTTAATTAGTTATCCCCGACTATGTGTTAAGTGGTCTTGTTAGAGACTGGCAGTGAGACTGAGATCTTTAGTTAGGAGTCCGCATACTGTATCATCTGAGATCAATCGCAAATGTCATTTTTATCTTCTTGAACGAGTCGCGTTTTTACAGTGTCAATTAATAACTTATTAATAATGCGCTATTAACAATACACGTTCACATTATCATAATACTGTCGCTACGACAGTAACGACAGTGTCGTAGAACGCGGGTAGGTCCCTCAGCGACCGTCGCTGGGACAATGCGCCTACTTCACAATGTGAAGTTCACATCACACAAATCTCTAGCGAAATTATTGGAAGTAGACACGCGAATAATCTTGGGAATTGCTAGCGCGACGGACTTACCCGGGCAGTTGCCAATTGCCACTAGTAGATTATTGCTGTAATATAGGT